GAAGCCAGTGCAGGGATTGGCAGAGGGGGGCGGGGGATGGAAGCCAGTGCAGGGATTGGCAGAGGGGGGATGCAGACACTGAGCGGTTGGTCAAGTGGATGAGTCTGGCAGCTGCATTCATGATAGACTGAAGGGGGGAGGAGCCTGTGTAGATGTCGGCCAATGAGGAGGGAGTTACAATAGTCAATATTATGAAGATGAATCTCCTATACAGCTCTGACATATTACGTTCCATTTGCCTGGTTGTGCTGGAAGGTGCGCAGCGTGTACATTGTGAGCAGTAAATGACTGCGGTACTGGACAATAAGGACTGCAATGTGATTGGTGGCTGTGGGCCCCTTTAACACGCACCACGTTATGGTAATTTCTGATGGAATGCCATCGCTCAGTTACCTCCACAGCGGTCTGGCAGGATCGCAGAACCCCGGTGCCGGTGGCGTGCATCTGAGCCAGGTTGTAAAATGCCAGAATGTGACCCCCCTGGGATGCCAGATTGAAATACTTCAGGGCTTGTTTGTAATCTCTCTTCACTCCGACCCCGTCTGCAGGAAGAACACAAAAGCACGAGAGTCAGTGTCACCACCATCCCAACAACATCAAGTACACGTGATCCCCCTACATGCGTCACAGTTACCTTGCGGAAGGATTTGTGGTCACCTCAACATATACATAACATCTGTACCCTTGGCTCTCAACTGCTGGGTGGTGACCCCGTGTTTAATGGGTCGAAGCACGCCTTTCACTTTTCTAGGTGAGAGGCTCATCGGCCTCCCCCTAGCGCAGCTCTGTCAGTTCCTCGCAGCAAGCAGCCAATCAGAATTTGCTGCCCGGTGCCGAGTGTCATCATGAGGTGGGATGGAATGGGGTGAGTTGGAAAGGGGTGAGGTGGGATGAGGTGGGAAGGGGTGAGGTGGGATGAGATGGGATGAGATGGAATGAGGTGGGATGAGATGGGATGAGGTGAGGTGGGATGAGATGGGATGGAATGGGGTGAGGTGGGATGAGATGGGATGAGATGGAATGAGGTGGGATGGGGTGGGATGAGGTGGGGTGGGATGAGGTGAGATGGGATGGAATGAGGTGGGAAGGGGTGAGGTGGGATGGAATGGAGTGAGTTGGGATGGGGTGAGGTGGGATGGAATGGGGTGAGGTGTTGGGGTGGGGTGAGGTGAGGTGGGATGAGGTGAGGTGGGATGAGATGGGATGGGGTGAGGTGGGATGAGGTGAGGTGAGGTGGGATGGGGTGAGGTGGGATGAGATGGAATGAGGTGGGATGGGGTGAGATGAGGTGGGGTGGGATGGGGTGAGGTGGGATGAGATGGGATGAGATGGAATGAGATGGAATGAGGTGAGATGGGGTGAGATGGGGTGAGGTGGGGTGAGGTGGGATGGGATGAGGTGAGGTGGGATGAGATGGGATGAGGTGGAATGAGATGGAATGAGGTGGGATGGGGTGAGGTGGGATGGGATGAGGTGAGGTGGGTTGGGGTGAGGTGGGATGAGATGGGATGAGGTGGGGTGATGGGATGGGGTGAGGTGGGTTGGGATGGGGTGAGGTGGGATGAGGTGAGGTGGGTTGGGATGGGGTGAGGTGGGATGGGATGGAATGAGATGGGATGGAATGAGGTGAGGTGGGATGAGGTGAGGTGAGGTGGGATGAGGTGGGGTGAGGTGGGATGAGGTGGGATGAGATGAGGTGGGATGAGATGAGATGGGATGGAATGAGGTGGGATGGGGTGAGGTGGGATGAGATGGGATGAGATGGGATGGGGTGAGGTGAGGTGGGTTGGGATGGGGTGAGGTGGGATGAGATGGGATGGGGTGGGATGAGGTGAGGTGGGTTGGGATGGGGTGAGGTGGGATGAGGTAAGGTGGGTTGGGATGGGGTGAGGTGGGATGGGATGGAATGAGATGGGATGGAATGAGGTGAGGTGGGATGAGGTGAGGTGAGGTGGGATGAGGTGGGGTGAGGTGGGATGAGGTGGGATGAGATGAGGTGGGATGAGATGAGATGGGATGGAATGAGGTGGGATGGGGTGAGGTGGGATGAGATGGGATGAGATGGGATGGGGTGAGGTGAGGTGGGTTGGGATGGGGTGAGGTGAGGTGGGATGAGGTGAGGTGAGGTGGGATGAGGTGAGGTGAGGTGGGATGAGGTGGGGTGAGGTGGGATGAGATGGGGTGAGGTGGGATGAGATGGGGTGAGGTGGGATGAGATGGGGTGAGGTGGGATGAGATGGGATGGGGTGAGGTGAGGTGGGTTGGGATGGGGTGAGGTGAGGTGGGATGAGGTGAGGTGAGGTGAGGTGGGATGAGGTGAGGTGGGATGAGATGGGGTGAGGTGGGATGAGATGGGGTGAGGTGGGATGAGATGGGGTGAGGTGGGATGAGGTGGGATGAGGTGGGATGAGATGAGATGGGATGGAATGAGGTGGGATGAGATGGGATGAGATGGGATGGGGTGAGGTGAGGTGGGTTGGGATGAGGTGAGGTGAGGTGGGATGAGGTGAGGTGAGGTGGGATGAGATGGGGTGAGGTGGGATGAGATGGGGTGAGGTGGGATGGGGTGAGGTGAGGTGGGATGAGATGGGGTGAGGTGGGATGGAATGAGGTGAGGTGGGGGGAGGTGAGGTGGGATGAGGTGAGGTGAGGTGGGATGAGATGGGGTGAGGTGGGATGGAATGAGGTGAGGTGGGGGGAGGTGAGGTGGGATGAGGTGAGGTGAGGTGGGATGAGATGGGGTGAGGTGGGATGGAATGAGGTGAGGTGGGGGGAGGTGAGGTGGGATGAGGTGAGGTGAGGTGGGATGAGATGGGGTGAGGTGGGATGGAATGAGGTGAGGTGGGGGGAGGTGAGGTGGGATGAGGTGAGGTGAGGTGGGATGAGATGGGGTGAGGTGGGATGGAATGAGGTGAGGTGGGGGGAGGTGAGGTGGGATGAGGTGAGGTGAGGTGGGATGAGATGGGGTGAGGTGGGATGGAATGAGGTGAGGTGGGGGGAGGTGAGGTGGGATGAGGTGAGGTGAGGTGGGATGAGATGGGGTGAGGTGGGATGGAATGAGGTGAGGTGGGGGGAGGTGAGGTGGGATGAGGTGAGGTGAGGTGGGATGAGATGGGGTGAGGTGGGATGGAATGAGGTGAGGTGGGGGGAGGTGAGGTGGGATGAGGTGAGGTGAGGTGGGATGAGATGGGGTGAGGTGGGATGGAATGAGGTGAGGTGGGGGGAGGTGAGGTGGGATGAGGTGAGGTGAGGTGGGATGAGATGGGGTGAGGTGGGATGGAATGAGGTGAGGTGGGGGGAGGTGAGGTGGGATGAGGTGAGGTGAGGTGGGATGAGATGGGGTGAGGTGGGATGGAATGAGGTGAGGTGGGGGGAGGTGAGGTGGGATGAGGTGAGGTGAGGTGGGATGAGATGGGGTGAGGTGGGATGGAATGAGGTGAGGTGGGGGGAGGTGAGGTGGGATGAGGTGAGGTGAGGTGGGATGAGATGGGGTGAGGTGGGATGGAATGAGGTGAGGTGGGGGGAGGTGAGGTGGGATGAGGTGAGGTGAGGTGGGATGAGATGGGGTGAGGTGGGATGGAATGAGGTGAGGTGGGGGGAGGTGAGGTGGGATGAGGTGAGGTGAGGTGGGATGAGATGGGGTGAGGTGGGATGGAATGAGGTGAGGTGGGGGGAGGTGAGGTGGGATGAGGTGAGGTGAGGTGGGATGAGATGGGGTGAGGTGGGATGGAATGAGGTGAGGTGGGGGGAGGTGAGGTGGGATGAGGTGAGGTGAGGTGGGATGAGATGGGGTGAGGTGGGATGGAATGAGGTGAGGTGGGGGGAGGTGAGGTGGGATGAGGTGAGGTGAGGTGGGATGAGATGGGGTGAGGTGGGATGGAATGAGGTGAGGTGGGGGGAGGTGAGGTGGGATGAGGTGAGGTGAGGTGGGATGAGATGGGGTGAGGTGGGATGGAATGAGGTGAGGTGGGGGGAGGTGAGGTGGGATGAGGTGAGGTGGGATGAGGTGAGGTGGGATGAGGTGAGGCATAGTACTGTGCGATTAACTCACTGTACCACGCAAATTGCATCTACCGTGCATTCTGGTGTGGGAGATGTGCTGCGTTGCCATTCATTTGAATGGCACCCCAAACGCACCTCCCACCCACATTTCGATCGCCAGCACTAGAACGCATGGTACCGCAATGCCGTGCGTTCCATTGCAGTGCGACTTAATGGCCGAGGACAAATGTGTGTCCCGAGGTTACACAGGTTGAGAACCGCTGCTCTAAACCACCGACAGGCGACAACCATTTCCCACCAGACCCTATAGCAGTGGTTCTCAACCTTTCTAGGGCCCGGGACCCCTTGGTAACATTTGCCAAGTTGTGGTGACCCCCAAAGGTAAAATTTAGGGATGACGCGGCTGCTGCAGCGACATGCACATGTCTGCTCTATTACCGCACACGTGACAAATCCGATCACCTCAACTGTCACTTATCATATTATGCTGGTAGGAGGTCACAAACTAGACCCCGCCCCCTGCTAGGATCACTGCTGCCATGTGACAGCGGCTTCCGTACACACTGCCCTGTCATCACCATCAGAGTGGCTGCTGCACACCGCCTACCCGCCCGTATCCCACCTCACACACCCTCCTGTGTAATGTGTATGTACGTGTGTATGTAATGTGTATGTACGTGTGTATGTAATGTGTATGTACGTGTGTATGTATGTAATGTGTATGTACAAGTCTAGGCCCGGCAGACACTCACTGTAGTACATGGAGCCGAGCTGAAGCTGCCCGTCCACCCAGCCCTGCTCAGCCGCCTTCTGGAAATACTTCAGTGCCAGGTCGTAGTTCTGTTAGGAAACAAAAGTCACGCTGACACTGTAAGAAGCCGATCGCCACACCGTGACAGCAAAGCTTTACAGCCATCGTATATAGGAGGCGACGTACAGCAATATAAACCCAGAGATAAACAAAAGGCAAAAATGATTTAAAAAAGGAGAACTACGGGGTCAGGGCTTTTCCCCATAGTTCTCCTTAGGGTAACGGGAGGACACATACTAGCGTCCTCCCGTCACCCTAGGCTCAGTATATAGGGAGCTACAGCTCGCGGTATACTGAGACGCCGCAGCGGATCCCGACATTGATATCCGCCCAGCGGCGTGAGTGACAGCTGGCTCCGCCTATCTAGAGGCAGAGCCAGCTGTACCCGCCAGTCAG